ACATGTGGTGATTAAGGTTCATGAGACTTTTATCATGAGTAATTCCTCTCTGAAAATGTCCTTTTCTAATATGTACAGGTCAATCCATGGTAAGGTTTCAATGGGTTTCTGTTTTGGAAAAAATGCTGAAAATATTTCGCCATTAATTTAATTCCGCCCAAAGTCCTTCTAGTAAAATGCCAGAGAAAGTGGCAGAGGGGATTGAGTGTTTTTCCATTTGTATGGACCGCATAAACTCTTGAGTAGTTTTGGAAGCCGGAGCTCATGACAGGCAGAGTTGGGATAGTTCCCTTTGCGAGTTGGAAAATTTGAAACGAGTAAGGAAAACATTTTATGCCTTTAAAGACAAAAAAGAATGCATTCACAAAAATGTATTTTAGAGACGCATATATACCAATCAGAAGTGCTTATAGAAGTGAACAAAGATAGATCACAAGAGTAAACTGATGTCCCACCAAATGTGTTGCTGCACACTGCTGTTTAAGAGGCTGGAAGGATGCTACTGCTTCTTCACAAGAAGAAAAAATCTGCCATTGAAAATATTTCTATTTAATAATGCTGTAAAATACTCCTTTTAAGTTAGCTCTGTTTTGAAGCTTAGCTACATGGCTGTTGAGCAGGCGACTGCAGGCTTGCTAAACGAGCACAAAGCCTGACTAACAACCAGCTACTATCAACTGGTTATACTTGTTTTACTCAATAAATATCAGAACAGTCAAAAGGATAACACTTTGCACAATAAGCACTGAAATTTTTACACTTCTTATGTGTTTATTTTAAAGTACATTATTTGTCATATTTCCTGGATCAATTTTACATTTGTAGGATACATTTTTTTGCCAATTTTTGATCATTAAATTATGTTATACATTTTTCTTAAAATGTTTGGATCAATGCAATAAAGCTATGTATTTCACCATTAGAATATTATGCCAAGCAGGCAAAAAGCTTTTTCTGTAGATTCTCACCTCTTGAGGTGGAACCGCAGGTATTTGAGCACATTGGACCCCGGCAGGAAGGTGCAACTCATGCAGGTGAGAAGCTGCCAGTAACGGAGATGCGCGGCGGTGTTCGGGTAAGGCGTGTGGCTCGTCTGCTTCACGAGCTGGCAGTAGACCTCATCGCGGAGGGGCCGCAGGTCCAGGCAGGTCTGCAGCACGCCCTGGATGATGGGAACCGGCTCCCGTGCCGACTCCAGCTGCTGCAGGCAATTGAAGAGCTTCACAGCCTCCTCACGCACGGAACCGTAACCCTTCCCATTGTGGTCTGAAGAGAAAAGATACGGTACAGATACTAAAATAGAACTTCATATAAAGCCTTTGTTATGTTTGGCATACACATCTTGAGTACTCACATGTGTGCTCCAGATTGCCATAAGGGAAAGGAAGCAGAGGAGCATACAGGGGGTCCTGGGTGTATTTCAGGATGGCGTTGTGTTGGTAGATGTGTTCCACCACCTCCGGATTGAACTTATTCTCCTGTGCACATACCAAAAGATGTATAAAGTATATCAGATTCATTCTGTGTCCCTGAAATCAGACAGGAGGGTTGTCGGCATCTATGATTTAGCACTTGTTTTCGTCCGTCTGGGGTGACCAAGGTCGATCTGACCGAGGTCACAATTCGGCTCTGGCAGCTTTCAAAGCAACAGGAAGGTCAAGTGATGACCCAGCACACCACACTTGCATGACTGACACGTTATACTTCATCCGCCGGTGTCAATGGGTTGACTGTGCGTGCATTTCTGTCTTTCACTGTGTATGTGGATAGATGCCTTCCAGAAGTACAGATGGCTTCCACACTACTGCCCCCGAGCACCTGTTGCTCATTAGTAACGTTGCAACGGCTCTGGCTCTCTCCTGACTCTGCAACTCCTCCAATATCTCCCTCCCCTTCTTTCTCTCTAGGTCTGACATGCTGTGAAATGATTGAGCTTTGCCCTCCCAAGTGTGGCAAAGTTAACTCAGTCTTTTGTTTGTATCGTGGGAATAAGATGCTGCTCTCTGGTTGTCCTCGGTAGGATACATCAACTGTGTTTCTGTACATCAGCTGTAGTTCAAAAGAAATACATAAAATAATACTAGCTAGATCTAAAGCAAGATGGAGTTTTTATACATATGAAGGAAGAGCTTTGGGCTGGAACTAATTGGATATGAAAAACTTTAACACTAGATTTTTTTACATAATTGAAACAAGAGAGAAGTTCTGGAAAAAGTACGTTTTTCCTCTTAAATGCAAATGTATATCATCTTTTTACAGTTTTTTTTCCTCAATTACTACTCTGTTTTTTTTTCAGCATGTGGCATTTTTCGGAGCCATTTTTTGTTAATAATTCGATTTAATAACTTGGCTCACCATCGTTTGAATAATCCAATGATTACAAATAATCAGATTATCCGTTTCAGCCTTAGAAAAGCCCTTTAAAAGCAGGCCTTTTCTTTCTTCCAAATATTAGCTCGGCCCCTTCTCGTCGAGCGCACAGTGATAGACAGAGGCAAGTAAATGCAACACTTTATTCAAGATTAGAGACTCTCGTTGGGAGATTACGGAGACAGGAGGCCATGCAAAGGTCTGCTTATCTGAACCTAATGATTCTTGCCTTGCCCCTTTTCCACCTCCTTTGCCAAAACCTGCCCCCCTTTTTATTTTTTAAACACACGATGATGAACAAATGCAAGAAAAGTCTCTTGACTGCTCATTAGATTCCAAAACATTTTCTGCAGCTACTTGCAGATTATAAAATGCACTCTGCACAAGTTCAGGTTAAATCCCTGGAAACTCCTTTATCTTAAAAACCCTTTCTCCTTTTGGTATCCTGTAATGTTTGGTGACATAAACTGAGTTTGTTGAAAAGGTAAAAATGCATTTAGAGTAAACTTTGGACTCCGAACGAACTATGAACAGTGTGGCTGTCTGGTTTCCATGATAACACTGAAGGGTGAAAAATGAGCAGTCCTGTAGCTGTTTGTGTTTGGTGGCTCTTATCAAGAGTAGTTTGACAGGAATTGCATGCATGTTTATATTGTCTTTCATTGGGGCCCACCTCGATGTCTCGAATCAAAAGCTGTGTCGGCGTTTCCTCCGGGGATTTGGTATCAATGATTTTCTGGATAGCGCAGGCCCAGTGCACGGCTTCATTGAAGTGCTTGGTGTACAGCCGATAGCAGTGCTTCCGTCCATAAACAGTAATGCTCCAGTAACCTGAAAAAAAAAGGAGTAAATGAAATTAAGATCTTTAGTGTAACTTAAGTAAAAAGGAAGTAGTACTACACTGTGACACCTAGACTTTCTCTCTCTTTCTGACTTCCTCTCTCAGATTTGCTAAGGATCAAAGGTCAAACTGAGCAAAACCTCAGGCCACACTAAGGCAAAACAAGAACAGATATTCTGCTGCCAGCCTCAGAGAAAAAGCAATGCATCCCCTTTTAGGTCAGATTCTAGATAAAGCACCAACTGAGGCTACGTTCACACTTCAGGCCTTGATGCTCAATTCCGATTTTTTTGTGGAATCCGATTTTTTTGCGTTGCTGTTCATGTTTCCAATTATATGCGACTTGTTTGTGATCTCCTGTGTGAACTGCATTCATACAACGCAAGTGTCCTGCATGCGCAGTAAAGGGACGTAATGACATCACAAGCCAGCATGCTCTGTGTTTACAAAAGTAAACATGGATGGTAGTGCCGGAGCGCATCTAATGATCTTTCCCAACAATAAAAACACAATCTTTTCAAGATGGTTAAAAAGATTTGATTCGTATCGGATTCAGGACCACATAGCCAAGTAGCCTGGGTCGCATTGCAAAAAATTGCATCTGTGGTGTTCAGACAGCCATGAAGGAATAGATACAGGTCGGATATGGGCCAAAAAATCGGATTTGGGTCACTTCAGGCTGCAGTGTGAACGTAAGTGACAATGGCTTTATTTAAGGCTAAAAAATGTATTTCAGTTGAATGAATTGATGATGCAAGAAATCAAGTCCTCAAAGGGAACTGTAGTCTGAAAGTATCGGAGGAAACACAACTCTATTCAGTGGTGGAATAGTCAGCAGTGCTAGTGACAAAACCGCTGTTGAAAACACTTCAGTCCAGAAAAGTCCCTGGGTGCGATGATCTAGCAAGAGTTATGTTTTGGCTTCGATTTATAGAACAGTTCATGATGTTTTAAGTGGTTTTGGTTTAGTCAGCAGCACACATTCTGCTCCACGAGGAGCAGCCAGACAGACTTTGAGGGCGACAAGGGTAGGGTCATCTCTGTGTCACTATACTGAGACTTTTCCTCTGCAATCTTTAAATCTTTTGTTTCGCTCATCTAAAAAAAGGAAGGGATACACCAAAGGTTCTAATTCAGTTCTGAGTCATGTTTTTGAAGAAAAAATTTAAAATGGGATTTCCCAAAAGTACAGATATGTGTCACACAAGGGAAGGAAAAGTGAATCAAAAGACTTTCAAGAAAAAATAAAATAAATCTAAAGTAGGGAAGGCCAAACCTTTGCGCTTTGAGTTTACCTTTGCTCATTTCTTTATGCTTTCCTTTTTTCCCCAGCTGTTATTGTCATTACACTGTCACAAGTACAGAGCAACAAAATTAACTCTTTGCATTTAACCCATCCCCTTTAGGACCAGTGGGTTACCATTGTGCGGCGCCCGGGGAGCAGTGTGGGGTCAAGGGTCTTTTGCTTAGGGATCCAGAGAGGCAGTTTGTGGGAGTGGGGCTCAAACTCAGCACCTCAGGATTCCAAGCTCTATGCCCTAACCACTAGGCAATTCAATTCAATTCAGTTTATTTATATAGCGCCAAATTCACAACACATGTCATCTCAAGGCACTTTACAGTTCAACCAGATCATACAGTCAAATTGATACAAAGTTTTCTATCTAAGGAAAACCAGTTGATTGCATTGACTCATTGACTCAAATACAATCCCTCACATGCTTGTAGCGACAGTGGAGAGGAAAAACTCCCTTTGAACAGGAAGAAACCTCCAGCAGAACCAGGCTCAGTGTGAGCGGCCATCTGCCGAGGCCGACTGGGGTTCAAGGCAGCCACTCCCTTTCCAAGTAATAACATTTCACTGAGCTTACCTGCTTCTTTGTACGTCTGCTTGTCTGGCCAAATGACGGAGCAGAGGCTGGTGAGGACCAGAGTGCCCAGTCGCCGAGCGCCTTTCTCTGGCCCGGTGTAGTAGTCCAGGGAATCGTGGCTCAGCACAAACCAGTACCGACGGTGCTTTATCCAGCTGCCACCAACCTCCCGTAACAGCCAACCTTTTTAAAAAAAAACACAAAATAAGGAAACACTAGCATTAATTGACAAAAAAAACAGAAAAACAATCAAAGGGAAAAGAGACAGGATCTGCTGACACTACAAACAGTCCTAGTTGAGCCAAAGTTACAGTATTTTAACAATTTTCCTTAAGAGTGACAGAGAAATATCAACAAAAATATGTCAAAACTGCAAAATTCTCACAACAATCTGATTTTGTGACCAGATTTTCATGATCTACCCATGACTGCTTTAACCATAGTTCTCAAACTATTGTGCATCTTGTACTTAAGGCACTCATGCTGTTTAAGAAGAACTCAGAATAGAGCTGGGCAAGAATTATTTACAAAGAAAATTCAAAGGAATTTCTGTTAACCTTTATAAGGTGCTATTAAAACAAATATGGTAGTGTTGTTTTATAGGGTGTTTTTAAAAGAGGAAGTGCGGTCAAGAAAATTTGGACTCCCAATGCAAACTGAAGTGGATGATGGTGGGCTTAAAATATTTATCTGTGATGTCAGAACTTCCCAGTTCATACAGGTTTCGGTTTCAGGGTAAAACAAAACAAAAATAGTTTGTGTTTTTCTTTTGCCAATAGATGTTTTTGGTAACCAGGTTTACTACAAGGGTCTAAATTAGCAGCTTTGTCATGAAACAGGTTTTATATTGATTCGTTTGGATGATGATCCAATGTTTCTTGACATTACAATGTCTATCCTCACTCCAAAAAATTGACATCAAAGTCAATTTTTTTCTTGAATTGAGCAGGTAAGTGAGACACTTTGCAAATGAAATAAGACAATTTACATTTAAAATAAGATAAACTACTGCAGTCCCTTATTTTAAGTGCATTATATTCAAATGTCTTATTCTAAGGCTAAACATACTTACTCCATTGGCAGATCATCTTATTTACGCGCTCAAATTAAGGGTAATTACACTTATTTTGAGAATTTTTTTACTCATTTTAAGATCACTTGGATCTACAGTATATCGCAACATAGATCACAGCATTCTTCTTAGTAGAAAACAATGAAATAGATTCACTGAGTAGGTAACGATGAAGCTTGCGTACCCAAAAGAGGATGTGGATCACTATTGTAATTTTGCATCTAGGTAAGTGGATCCTAATCATTTAATTGATATGTCAATATTAAGTGTTTTATTGTCACATTGTTATTTTCAAAAAATGAATTCACAAATCGACTGTAGCGTGTGTTTGTCAATAACTGTAAAAAAAAAAAAGGAGGTCTTTTTAGAGTTAGATTTGGAGGTCTGTGTTGGTGAAAGGCACCCAAATTTTATTCTGTGGATTCAAATTTGTTAGGATCATATAAAGGTTATGGCTAAGAGCAAACCTTAAAACTTTCCCAGAAAATATTGGATATTAATAAAGCTTGAGGAAAATAATTTTAAAATCTGATAGGTTATGTTGATTGGCAGTTAACTGACTAGACTGTTTTGCCGTATAGTTTAACCCTCTAAGCACAGCATAACCCATTAAGAGTCGAGGCTGTAGAGGCTGGCTTTATACACTGCAAAAGCCATCTAGAAATAAGTACAAAAGTTCATAAAATAAGTGTATTTACCCTTAATTTTAGTAGGTAAATAAGATGATTTGCCAATGAAATGAGCATTTCTACTCCTAAAATAAGATATTTACTTGAAATAAGACAAAGCTATTGTTTTTTTCTTATTTTAAATGTAAATTGTCTTGTTCCATTGGCAAGGTGTCTCACGTATCTCCTCAATTCAAGAAAAAATTAACTTAATTTAAGCAAAAATGACTCATATAGATTTCCATTTTATGCAGTGTAGAGTGCTCTATCTATGCATTTTAGTGGAAAGTTGAGTGGAAGAAAAAAAGTGTAACAGAAAAAAAGGGTCCAAGACAAGACATTTAACTTTTGAAGTGTCTGAAGTCACAGATATGTTTTATTTTTATGTTTTCAATAATATTCTAATTTACTGAGCTGGCACCCTTAATACTGATTTCATATGTCTATCAGTAAAAGTTTACGTAGAAACCTTAATAACTTCTCTAAATAGTTTGAGAACCAACGTACAAGGGAATAAAAATACAAACAGCTAATAGCATAAACATTAGGAGTTGCATGCAGCCAACATAATTGGCACTTTTGAGGCTGACAGAGTGAGGAACAGAGAGAGTGGAGCAGAATACAGAGAGGGAGACAAAGGGACTACAGCAGTCATGCTTGTAGACATGCATTTTGTACTTGCCAGTCCTGTCTCTACAATGCAATACTGTTCAGCTCCAAAAGCTCTGAGGGGTTTCTAAGACTGGAGCAGAACCGCTGTTCCCTAACGGTGAGCTTCCCCCCTTAGGCTGTCTGTGCAAATCACTCCTAATAACTATTTAATCTGAGAACAGATGAGGACGTTTGGCAGAGGCCCATTCAAACACTGCCTGTAGACAAATGGAGGACGGCTGAAGAGTTCTGGTAATGGTTGAGGTGGTGGTCAAAGTTTATACAAACAGATGACAGAGGGAGCACAGAGAGCTGTCGTAGGCCACCTGGTGCAGTCCTAGGTGCCGTTTAGGAATGGCAGCAGAGCAAATGCATTGTGACTTTATGTGAGAGCACATGGTGCGTGGAACCCATCTGTGAAGTACTTTTAAAAGGAACAATTAGGAAATAGACCGTCAGTCTCACAACCCTGTGAAAACTAATGACGTCACCATCAGCATCACAACTTCCTCCGCGGTTAGCAAGCTGGGTGCCACCTGTCAGCCTGCGTTCATTTGGCCGACGTCTTTCTTCCTTCTCTACTCGTTCTCTTCCTATTTCCTTTCATCTTTCCGGTTTTTCCCACTCTCTCTGATTTAATGTTGCCCAAAAGTGTTGTTTCCCTGGCAGTACAAAGATCCCACTGCTCTGCTGCTCCTCAAAAATGAAAATCAAGGGAGAAATGGGGGCTTGGAGGAGAGGGTCAACTATGATTTCTGTTTGGAGATTTCTCCATATCATGTAATTGGTGGATTTATCTTGTGTATAAATAAATATGGCTTGAATAAAACAAAAAGGAGTTACTTTACACCGCATCAGATAAGGTCTGAATCAAATTCCAGCAAGAAATAGATAAATCATAATCATGAGCTAAAGCACGGCTGAGCTTGCCAACGGGCAGGATGAGGAACTGCGGAGACAGACGAGCCGTACAGGCAAAAGCATGGAGACTGCTTTACTAACACGCCTCTATCAGAGACAGGATGTCCTACACATGTGCTGCTTTTAGGTAACTTTAACCGATGTGATAAGAAAAAATGAAAAAAGCAGAAAGGAAAAAGACAGAAAGAGCAGAAGAGTCCATAGACCCCCTGTGTATAAGCCTCTCAGGCTCTTCCATCTGGATCCCATCTCTGTAGCCTGCTAATGTTTCCCCTGGGGGCCGCGACTCGCCCTTAATTTGTTTCATTTGTGACCCTTGACCCCTTAGTGCCCTGCCCCCTCAAACATAGATTGAGAAAACAATCTATCTCTCTGTATTTCCTTTTTTTCCTGCAAGCCGCCTGCTGCTTTCAGAATACTGGATAGTTGTTCCCTGAACTTAACAATGCATAATGTTACAGTAAAATACAGTCATGAAAAAAAGAATGCAGTATTTTATGAATAACTTGCTTGAGCAAGTTATTTTCCAGAATACATTTAAGAAGAACAAAAAAAAAAAACATAGATTAGCTAGCTTAGTTTATATTTGATTAAACTCAGGAAAACATGGTCCTTTTTTAAGTCCAGAGTGCAACACTGAGTTTTACCTAAAAAAAACAAAATCCTCACAATAAAGTGGTGGCAAATATGTAAATTGCAGGTAGAACTTAACATTTTTTTTTTTTGCAAAATAAACTTGCATAACCTTCTCCTTTCGGATCAGGATAATCCAGACAGTTAAGCTGCAGTTTACTGGAGCATGCAAAGCCATGCATCATGTGAGGAGTAATTTTAACCGTAAATCAACAAAGGTATGTCAATAAACCAATGTCAACATCTCTTTCTGTCACCACTCCATGGGTTTAACAATTCATCCTCACACCATCAGTCTATATCTGCATTGGCTGTGCCCTATTTTAGATACTGGGGCAATGTTCGCCCCATGTCGCCTCAGGATGTCTAGCTGAAAAAAGAAAAGGAGAGAAACAAACATGTGCAGGAAGAGAAATGCACTAATGGAGGCATTCTTCAAAGTCACAGAGAAAAATGAGAGGGATTATCAGACACCCTTAGGTATCCTGTGGAGAAGTATGTACCAGTGCAGTCTAGTAATTTCTGATCAAGACTGGTGGTGCAACAGCTAGAATACCAAATAAGGGCCGGAAAATACTTAAAACAGTATTTAAACTACTTTTTGAACTTTTTCCCCATTTTGTCAAGCTAAGGGTACAAGCTGATATTTTTTTTATGGACACTTTTACTGCAAAACCAACCTCAAGTAGTGCATAATTGCAAAGCTGAAGAAAAAAGGGATAAAAGATTATCTCTATGAATAGAGAATCTTAAAAAACATCAATATTTAAGTCCTGGGACAAAAAACCCCAATAAGATTTGTATCTAGACCTTACCTCGGCTATTCTAAAACATAATTAGGTCTTGATCTAAACCAGGGGCACCAATGCGGTGCCTGTGGGCACCAGGGCACCCTGAAGTCTCTTTTAAAAATAGCACAACTCACCAGTGAGCTGTGTCTAAATTTTTTATTTTATTCTGTTGCTGCTCTTTTTTTTTTTTAACCACACTTGCATTCTTTATGATTTGAAGATGAAAATATGTTAAAAAAAATAAAGTTGCATTTATCATACATAAAGTTTAGGTGAACGGCGACTCTTCCAGTTCAAAGGTCAGTATTGTTAGACCTACATATGAATCACTATCCATTAAGTTGCTCTTAGCTTCAAAAAGGTTGGTGACCTCTGATCTATGCCATCTTATTGTAGCTTTGGCTGTATCTTTAGAGTCAATGTTCCACTGAAAGGTGAACTTCAGCATCAATCTAAATCTATTTCAGCATAAAACCTTTTTGGGTTTACAGTATTGTCCTGCATTTGGCTCCACTAACTTCCCCAATCCTCCATGTCCAGCTTTCCTGTCCCTGCAGAGGAGAAGAATACCCAAAGCATGACACTGAATTTACAGTGTCATACTATGATTATTAACATTATTATTAACGTCGGCCAAAAAGGAACTTCTTTATTTACTAATTAGCTGACTTACAAAGGCAATGGGTATGATAGTAAAGGGGATATTTTCATGTACACATCAGATTTCCAAGATGTATATCCTAAAAGATATAAAAAAAACAATTTACTTTCTACTTCACAATCATGCAATTCTATGTTTTCCTTGTCAATCATCTGAATAAATGAGAGAGGTGCATAGAGGGAAGGGAAGACAGATATGCATGGCAACTGTGGTCAAAATTAGGCAATGTGACTGTGTCACTATTCCAAACAGGACACAACATATCTAAGCAACAGCATTTTACTGCTACCCCTCAGGAGAGCTTCAAGAGAAACCATCTTTGCACAGAAATATCTCATGAGATCATAACACAAAAGCACTCGACCCGAAAGACAAGACCACAGATGTCTTTAGCTCTCCTTGATTGAAACCGTTTGTCTTGTATATTTAAAAGGAAACACATGACAAGTTCCTAGAAACATCAAGGGTTTCTTTTTAGTTTGTTCATCTATTAGTTCAAAAAGGAAAAGGATTCAGCTAGGATCAATGTAACACAAAGCAGATAGCATCTGGGAATGATTATCATATTAATGCAACTTGAACATACTGCACATCTAATAAGAAGAGCTGAGTGTTTTAATCATGATTAGGGACTAAAGTGATGTTTCAGACTCACCTTTTACAATCAGGTCCGGGTCTTCATCCATCCCCATCCCTTTGTCTTCATCGTTTAGTTTCTTCATTTTTACAGGTGACTGAGAGACAGCGTGTCTGTGCAGAAGAACAGAGAGGAAAAGTAAATTCCCCAGCTTCTTCTCAAATCAAATCTACCAATAAACCCGGACAGCTACAGTAACTGGCACAGAGAGATGATGCCACATCTAATCACTTCTAATCTCTGACAACTCGCAAGCCCCTTACATACTCCTGGTTTGGAAAGAAGTGCCACAAATATCAGCCGTCTAACCCCCCCCAACCCCATTTAGCAAGCAAATCTCTGGATGCACAGCAAGCTGCCGTGGACAGCTCAAGTCTCTTTTATCACTTCGACTGGCGAGCCAAAGAGGCGACTGAAAATAAACGTGACAGGGCGACGCCGGGCTGACTCCCAGCCAGCCAGCTTGCGCCGGTCAGAGGAAGGCAAAAGGTTCAAGAGGTCATGTCTTAGATAGTTAAAAGCATAAACATCAAAAACATCTGTAAATCTGCTGAGCAGCGGCTGCTCTTTCTCTTGTTGATGTTTCGACCATCAAGCTTCTACGATTTTAAATGCAGGGCCTTCTTCTAGTCACACCTTGTGATGTCAGACCTGTTGGAATTTTCAGTTGTAAGCATTATATACATTTCAAGAGTCCTTTTTTCTGATCTTTCCTGTAGTTTTCATGACATAATGGAAAGTGGATGAATAAATGTTTGCTAGTTGGATATTTTTAGTCAGTTTTTCAGTGGCACCTAATTCTGTAGAGTGGGAAAGAATGTTTTTAATGATTTTTTTTTTGGGGGGGGGGAATCTAGGAAAAAGTTTTTATACATAAAAAATATAGAATAGATGAGCACAATCCAAACTGGATTAGTATAAGAATCCTTCACATCACAACCTCCACTAAATTACACAAAACTTCAAAGCAGGAATTTCTATGTTTTCTCATTTGCACTGAACACATCTAAAGAAGCTGAGGTTCAGTCAAAAGCAAAGCTCCATACTGGTTTGCTATTCAGAGCATGTTTGTCAAAAACAAAACAAAATGAACAACGAGTCGGATGAAAAAAGGTATGTCTTTGTGCAATAAACAAAAAAACATCTTCGTTTAAATACTATCCATGAAAAGAGCTGATTTTTTCTTCACAAGTAGGAATTTTTATCTTTTATAAACTCCATACTTGTCAACACTGCATAAAAACCCTGTTGTTATCTCAGCGGTTTCATCTCTCCTGGTATATTTATCTAATAAGATGTTTATTCTCTCAATTTCCTGGGCAAAAATGTGAAATTCAGGACTTCCTGTCCTCCCCCTCCCCCTCTTCTGCAGCCTCCTGAGGTTACTGTGGAGACGAATAAATTGCACCCTTCCTCCCAGGGTTTTTGGCCTTCAGTCACCCAAGCCTTTATCAGCTGATTTATGTCATTATCGATCTGATAAGTGCAGAGGGTTCCTCCACACGGAAGGCGAAAAATCAATAAGTCCCAATATAACCTTATCCGCTTAGACTCATCTTACTGCAGACTGCTGAAGTAATTTGCTAATTCCAGCGAACTTTGAGCTAAAATAAGTTTCAAGTTGCTTGAAGCAAATTCTCAAAGATGCATGGACATTTTGGTCTTTTATTGCAGAAGACTATTCTAAGCTAGAAAATGTTTTCTTTATGCGTAAAGAAATTTATATAAGGAATGACGCAAAGAGAGTGACTGGGAATTTGGTCATCTCAGGTCATAGGTTTCACTGAGCCTGCTTGTTTGATGCAGTAGGTAGCTACCGGGTATACTTAAATGCTTTAAAATAAACACTGAAATATGACGACATCTCTTATTTTGGGTTGTTTATGAGCCCTGCTGCATAGCAGAAACACCCAGACAGCTCAAACTGGATGCAGACAGTATGTATAGAAGCCCTCCCTGCAGGGAGCTTGTGGTGTGGCATTTACAGTGCAGACGTTGAAACAGAATTCCTTGACATATGTATGCTACTGTTACAATACCAAAAATATTAATTAAACAAACAAAAATAAACTAATTAGCTGAGAAAACACCTCTGGAGAAGCAAATCTGATTGTCTTAAATAACTAATTAAAGCTACATTCAAAAAAGCAAAGCCTGAATGACTTTCAGCCAGAAGTGAGCACCTTTGAAACTAAAAAAAAAATTTTTGCAAAAAGCTTAAACAGAAACATGCCCTCTGGGTTGGAGATGGGTCGGTCGCTCAAATGGAGAAGTCCTGGTATTTTCAGGAGTAATGAGAGAATAAGGTTGGAAATAATCTGATCAATCAGGGCTTTGTCTGGGGCTGATGCACCACTTTGAGAGGGTGAAAAAGGAAAAGCTCTTTGTCTATTAGTCCTGAGTATGGTCATAGCATTTTGGATAAGACTTGGCAACAGTTAGTTTCCTTTGTTTTATATCCCAATGGAAGCAGCTGGAATTTTTCAAAAATACTATTACATCAAATTACCTGTTTTATTTTGTTCGGCAGCAAATACAAAAACATAGGAGGCTTTTAGAACAGAAAAAAGAAAATGTATCCAGCCCCAGTTTCAACCTTTAACAGCACCAATTGCCTAACCTTTAGGCTCAATGCTGTCAGTTACATCATCTGCTTGACTGCTAAATCCTAACAAAGCCATGGCTAATGTCCAATATCCCTTTTGGAGAGTACTTTAAATTGCTGTTTTTGTTGTCAGAATTACTTTACAGGAGCTTTTTTAATGTTATTCTAACATAAATTAATTTATGATTGTTTCCTTACAAATTATGCTGACAATGAGCCAATGAGACACACAACCTGCCTTAGCCAGCAAGTTATCATGGAAAACTCACGTGTTTTAAAAAGAATGATGCTACATTGTAAATGTTTTAAAGCTGTAGGTTATCTTATTGTTTAATTTAAAAAAACTGCATTCAAAATAATTAAAAAGGTTTTGCGAGAGTGATGGAAAGTGCAACAAAATATGCCATGCCATCAAGAGGTATTTGCGTATTTCTACTGTTGAATATTTTTAGGCACACATGTTATAACGGATCAAATCAATTTCATAATTTATATTTGTGTAAAAAATGTAAATTTGCTAAAACTTTGTAAAATCGTGAATTAGCAGTGATTACATTATTTTTATTCAGCTTTATCATGGTTGAATCAAGACTTGATTACTGATCTGCCAACATATTGCATAAACAGAATTTGTCTGATATTTCAAATGAAGCTAAAAGATCTCAAGGCAACACATTCCCAAATAAGAAAAAAGGTCTAGAAAGTGTTAAAAAGCCATTTTTGAGACCTGAAGACCCCAGCAAGCAACAATGAGGCCAAATGGGGAGTGTTGGCTAGGGGTGTGCAAAATAATCGTAATGATGATGCATCGTGATTCTAATTTTCGTGATCTACTGCATCGATTCTTGATGCCAAGTATCGATTATTAATAAAAAAAAAATCATAAATAAAATTGCATGAATGTTTGGCGAACATCAGCCAAAAACAACAGTAATATAACTTCCAGCCCAGTAGATGTCGCTGCGGATGTGTTGACGCACACTGCCTTGTGTCACAAGCATTTCCGGCCGCGGGATACTGCGCCGAGTCATTAAAAAACAAAACATGGAGGAGAAAATATTGCAATGCATCCCAATAATTCAAGTATCGTGATGCATCATGATAGAATCGCATCGTGGCCTGTGAATCGTGATACGAATCGAATCGTGACTTCTTTGGCAATACCCACCCCTAGTGTTGGCCTAGTGGGTTAGAGCAGTGTGCTTATTCTCTGAGAGGGTTGCAAGTACCCGGTTAGAATCCCACTGCCTCTACTCTGGGTTCCTGAGCAAGACCCTTAACCCCCGATTGTCAAAAAAGAACCCCTGAAAAAGACCCATAATACCCTGATTGCTCCCCGGGTGCTGCACAATGGCAGCCCACTGCTCCCCAAGGGGATGGGTTAAATGCAGAGATACTTTGCAGCTTCTTCTCCATTGTGACTCAATTAGAAATTCGTCCGATTAACGCTGGGCAATTAATTATATTGCAATATAACCACAATTCCTCAAATAACACAGGCACTCAATTTTGGTCACATAGCATTTAACAAAATTAAAACATTGAACATCTCACTCCAGCCCTTTAGCTTGCAGTAATGTGTTGCCGCACAGAATTTAAGATAGAGTTGCAGCTAGCATGCAGACCCATGCATGAGAGTAGGAATTAACACTTTTTACACAGCATCAACAATAAAATCCTGGAACGATGAGTTTTGGACAAGCAAGTTTTCAGTGTCATGAAAAAAATTAAACCCCGGAGTGAAAAACTGACATGCTTGTGCTAAGTGTGAAGGAAAATCCAAATGAAATCATAATATTTGTTGAAAAAAAAAGAAAAGTTATTTGCATCTTTCACAAAATCATTCAGCCCTACTGCTGATAAGAGCATGTGTACGATCCTGCACCATGAGATAGATGTGTTTTAGTCAATTTTAAAAAACATTTCATGGTAGCTGCGGACATCAAGGGTAGCTGGCAAAACCAGTTATACGGTTTAGAGAGCAAAATCTGTTTCACATAAATCCAGGTTTGTATGGCTGGCGTTTTCTTTTGCCTAGAACTATTTCATCTTAGTCTGATAATTAGGCCTGAAATCCTGGAAGAAAAGGTCTGGAAAACAAGCAAAACATTATAAATTTGTAGGCAATATTTGTGTATGTGAAAAAACAGCCTTAAAGCTAAAGCTGACTGTTTCATAACTGATGTGGTGGCTTTGCATCTGCACAGCTGTCTAACAGCCCCACAACCCCAATCTAACCTTCAAAACAGCCCCCGTTCAGTGCTACCACCCCCACATTCCCAGAAGCCCCAGCAGAGGCTGTGGTGATGGGGCCTTTAGCAGGCAACTTCCTGTGGAGTCCAGGAAACAATTTGATATGGGGATTAGGAAGCATTGAGAACAGAGTCACACATCGGACACCACTTCTCTCCCATCTCCTACTGACAACACCCCCCTCCAGGTATGAATAAACCAGCAAAAAACTGTTACTCTATTGTATCACTACACATCTGCTGAAATTTAACAAGT